ACCCTCTGTCCCCGACCAGAGAGAAACGAGCGCAGCCATTGAAGGACTGTGCCCTGGATCCCCACGTCGGCGAGGCGGTGGTCCAGAAGTTCGTGATCAACCATGTCGAAAGCTGCTGACAGATCTAGAAGAATCAGCAGCCCCGACCCGCCTCGATCCAGCTGTCTACGAAGATCATCTGTTAGGGCGACCAGAGCCGTCTCGGTCCCATGACCAGCGCGGAAGCCGGACTGGAATGGATCCAGAGCCGATGTTTCGTCCAGAAACCTACCAAGCTGTTCAGCAACCGCTCTCTCAATCACCTTACCCAGGAATGGAAGATTCGAAACTGGGCGGTAATTGGATAGATCTAAGGGATCTAATGATGTTTTCTTTAAGAGCGGACGCACCACTGCCTCCTTCAGTTCCCCTGGGAATGTCCCGGTGCCAAGGGACAAATTGATGATATCCCCCAGGGGGGCCCGCACCTCGTCTGGACACGCTCTAATCAGCCAAGACGGGCACGGGTCGAGAGGACAAGTGGTGGGCTTTCCAGCTCGGAGGAGTCTGTCCACATCGGCTGGGGATATCCGGTCAAAGTGGTCCAATACTGGACCCGAGGACAGTCGAGGGGCCTCCAGTTCCTTTATTGTATCCAAATTGGCAGGGAGGTCATGGATGGGTTTCAACACAGCACTAAGTCTCTCGTTCAACCAGTGCAAGGATTTCTCCTTGTGCAATGGAATGTTCCACCCCTCCCTGCATGGCCCCCGAGTCTGTTATAGAGGTTTCCCCAAAAAAAACCTCTCTGAAGGAGATTTGCAGAGAGCCCTGCTCATGCATAGGTGCTGGAGGAGAGGAAAGTTCCTTTGCACAAGCAGAAATAGTTGCGCCGATGAGACGTGTCAGTAGAATACCGCTCATTAAGCAGCAGATAGCAAACCCACAAAAAAACAGCACAGCCAGTCTCTCGTCCCCAGCAGAGGATCCCCAGCTACCCTTCGCTTACCTTAACCAAAAGCAACTTTGAAAAGTTTTCAGGGGTTTTCTCTTAACAGAAAGGTTGATGAGCTCTAGTGGACGTCGGCAACTACCTTCCAGGTGTTTTGGATTGCAACTCTCATCGGTCCAGTGGGCTGATGTGGTCCGAAAGAACCAGAGACCTCCAGGTTGTGGGTCCAGCAGTTGGGTTCCCCTATCGTCCCAGTTCCCTCTCCCCCAATTTTGTCATCACGCTTGTGGCCACCTTCTCTTCTCTTCGGAGCTAAATGGAAACACTGCCAAAAGGTTCTAATCAAGCACGGAAGAGCCTGCTTGCTTTCGTAGCAAGAAGCGTGGGGCTCCTATGGCTGAAGAAAGTGCCCCTGAAACCAACGAGGCTCATATCAAAGCCGTGCAATATGTTATTGCTGAGATGGAGAAGAGCTCTAGGCTCAAGTAAAGGCAACCTGGGCTGAGCTGAGCTAGGAAGCGGTAATTACTGTTCCCCAAACCAGCAAGCATCTCTGCCTCCATGGACAGCAGCGCAGCCCTGAAGCACTGAGGCTTTTTGGTATTGAGCTGAGCCCGTTTTTACCAGCAGCTAAGCAAACTAATAGCAAGGATATTTCCCCAGAGACATGCAAGCCTCTGGTCCTTATTCAAACTGAGATCTTTCTCACTGCAGCTAAATTTTCGACCCGGGGTACCCAAAAAAATATCAAAACTTAAAAGTTATTTTGCCTTTTGCTTTCGGAACAACCGGTGTAAAAAAAAAACACAGAAACAGCCAAGGAGGTTCTTCCAGATGGTACTCAGTTCAAAGTAGTGACATTAAAGAGATATTTCCCATTTCAAGGGTTTGGGGGGAGTGTCGCTGTTTTGTCACGTTGGTGAGTGAGCATCTACTCTTGGGTTTTCATTTCTTTCTGCAGCAGAGTTCCTTTTACAGAAAATTTTTCCTACTTCTTTATAGCAGCAGCATTCCAGCTACCTCTTAGTGAAATTCCCATCACACTGGTCCCTTGGTTTTCAAACTTAATCCGTTCCAGAAGTCCGTTCCAAAACCAAAGCGTTCCAAAACCAAGGCGCGCTTTCCCATAGAAAGTAATGCAAAATGGATGAATCCGTTCCAGACTTTTAAAAACAACCCCTAAAACAGCAACTTAACATGAATTTTACTATCTAATGAGAACATTGATCCATCAAATGAAAGCAGTAAACAATGTACTGCTGTCACACAATCAATTAATCAGTAGCTGAACTGGGTTCCACACAGTCACAAAAACAAAACAAAAAAGGAGCCACAAACACAAAAACGCAGGTAGATTAGCTGAGAGACATTCACTGCCCCTGAATGGCTGAATGGTCTCTCAGGTCCTAGTCCAACCCTCTGACCATTAGACCACACTGCCTCTCATTACTCTTCTGAGCTAACATCCACAAGGGATGGCAGAGGGAGGAATTCGGTGGTCCACATTTTTGTGCGAACCTACCCAATTTGCACTTGCTGCAGCAAAGTGAGCAAAAAAATAAATTCTGCCCCAATAGAATTCCTGGAATAATACACAAACTGAAACACGTGGATCCTTTGAAATTTACACCTCTCTGAATTCTGCATTTGCAGATCTCCAGCCATGTGTACAAAATAAAACAAATTAAAAATTGTACACAAGGTTAAAGAGTGCATAAAAATCACATATTGTGTTATTTAAAAGAACACAGTGAAAAAGCATTATATTAGGTGGAATTGCATTGAAAATGCATATATTTGGCAAAAGTGCATATAAAATGATGTCTGTCTTGGAGAAACACGAACATGATGAAGAATTTTGACAAATTCTTTCGATGACTTTTTTCTTTTTTTAAAAAAAAAAGATTGCAAACCGATGTATAAATGTGGAGTAGTGAACTCAAGATCGGAAAGATGACAAACTTAGAAATCACTTAATTACTATTGTTAACCAATGAGAGGAAGGAACTTCAGCATCCCCACCTTGGACTTGGAAGGCAGGCCTCCGAGAGCAGTATTAAAAAAAACAGGAAAAGCTGGATGGAGGAGGATATTGGGGGACGTTTGTTACAACACTTTCCTTATGTCCACATGATTTCATTCACTCCCCAAATGTGTTGCCTTTACAGAATAAAGCACATTTAGCTGAAAGTAACCAACAAAGGACATCACCTTGCCGACAAAGGTCCATATAGTTAAAGCTATGGTTTTTCCAGTAGTGATGTATGGAAGTGAGAGCTGGACCATCAAGAAGGCTGATTGCCTAAGAATTGATGCTTTTGAATTATGGTGCTTTTGAAATCCTGTTGGCACCTGTGCTTGCGGGACTTCAAATGTCACTTTATCTCTAAGAGCTCACAATAGCTCACTTGTCACTGTTTACCATACGCCAGTGTTCTTTACCAAAAGGAAGCTGAATTGGTTTACTTTGCAGTACTTACGCGCATTGTGTACCTACCGTGTGCTACAGTGTCAAGTCTTTTTTTGAAAGCAAAGAGGGAACAGGTGGTTGAAACGCCAAGAAAATAAACACATGCTCCTGGCCTAAAAAAGAGAGAAAAGCGAGGAAAGGAAGCAAAACAGAGAATAGATCATACATAGAACAGAGAATGGCTGGTGTGTGAGAAATAAAATGCTTTAGTCCAGTGGCAGAACATCTGAATTGAATGCAGGAGGTTCTCCCAGCTTTGGTTCCCATCATTTCCAGTTAGGATTCTATACTACTCTGTTCCACCTTGGTCAGGCCACACCTGGAATACTGGGTCCAGTTCTGGGTACCACAATTTAAGAAGGATGTTGACAAGCTGGACTGTGTGCAGAGGAGGGCAACCAAGATGATCAAGGGTCTGGAAACCAAGCCTTATGAGGAATGGTTGAAGGAGCTGGGTGAGTTTAGCATGGAAAAGAGGAGGAGACTGAGAGGAAGAATTATAGCCATCTTCAAATATCTTAAGGGCTGTCACATGGAAGATGGAGCAAGCTTGTTTTCTTCTGCTTTGGAGGGTAGTACATTTCTGAGCACAATTCAAAGTGTTGGTGTTGACCTTTAAAGCCCTAAACAGCCTCAGCCCAATATACCTGAAGGAGCGTCTCCACCCCCATGATTCTGCCCAGACGCTGAGGTCCAGCACCAAGGGTCTTCTGGTGGTTCCCTCACTGCGAGAAGCCAAGTTACAGTGAATCAGGCAGAGGGCCTTCTTAGTTGTGGCAACCACCCTGTGAAACACCCACCAGATGTCAAAGAGATAAACAACTACCTGACATTTAGAAGACATCTGAAGGCAGCCCTGTTCAGGGAAGTTTTTTATGTGTGACATTTTAATGTATTTTTAATCTTTGTTGGAAGCCGCCCAGAGTGGCTGGGGAAACCCAGCCAGATGGGTGGGGTACAAATAATAAATTATTATTATTATTATTAGACTCGAAACAATGGATTCAAGTTGCAAGAAAGGAGATTCTGACTAATCATCAGGGACAACTTTCTGGCAGTAAGAGCTGCTAGTGGAACAAACTCCCACGAGAGGTGGTGGACTCTCCTTCATGGGAGGTTTTTTAGCAGAGGTTGGATGGCCATGTCTCGTGGATGCTTTAGTTGAGATTCCTGCATTGCAGGGGGTTGGTCTAAATGACCCCATGATCCTATGCTTGCAAAAGAGGTCCCTTTCTGAAACCCCAGAAAGCCACTTTCAATCAATGCTGACCATATTGAGCCAATGGACTGACAGATTTGTCTATTTCTGAAGTTGATTTGAGCATTTGCTACTGATGCGAAGGCCCTTGTTCAGAGCTGAGCTGGGCTTCCTTCTGGGCAACTGCAATAATGCTTCCTCGTTCTAATATAAGCACAACTCGGTTCGCTTAACATTTGCAAGGGCAGCCGCAGAAGCTGTGGGGCTGGGAGGTGTTTGTTTGGCCTGTGACTCAGAGAGACAGAGAGGCTGGGTTTGGCAATGGATTTAACCTTCTATTTCACTGGATTTGTGGCTTAGTCATAAAGTTGTCCAGCCCCTCCCTTCTCCCTCGCTTTACTCTCCCACTCTCAGATAACTGTGCTCCGTTTGGCAACAACTGCCAAGGAAGAAGGACACCTGCAGGGCCTTTGCCCTTATAGGAGACTCCAGACTGAGGGGACAGAACAGCAAGGACACAGAAGAGCAGGTAGAATTCTGGGTGGTTGGGCAAAATAATGTTTGGCACATGGCTTTATGCCAGTTCAAACTTACTGATTTCCCCTGGGTGCTCTCTGCTTTAATCTAAGGGCATTGATCCCCACGTGCATGTGATATTTGACAGCATTTTGCTTTTGAGGCAATGTCAGTTCTCCATTTCGATGTCTGATCCGCAACTGGCTGTTTCTCACATGCAAGGTATGGTCTGAGGCTGCGGGCGCTGAGCAAGGCGAAGGGTTTGCCAACCTTTCAACCGGCCTGTGTTGCTGTGCCACGATTTGCAGCTGGGGGGATAACATTTATCTATGTGCTGAGGATATGTCCACCTGCTGACTCCTGCCTAACAAGCTGCTATTAAGAGCAGGGCTGCACAGGGGTCGGTTTGAACTCTATTCACAGAGGGCTCAAGAAAGTTGCCACGTGATCTGGAAAAAGAACCCTGCCTGCTTCTATGCCTTTAACAGCAACTTGGCACACATCGTCACCGGCTGATGTCTACAGATCAAGCTAACAGCTTAGGAGCCTTTAGGCTACAGCAGCAGTGGACAACCTGTGACCCATGAGACTAATTTCATGGGGCTTTTCCATACAGGTAGCCCTGAGGAGGAAAACTAAGATAATCACACCTTTTCTATCTCTCTCTCCCCCCTACCCTCTATTTGAGATCCTTAAAAGGGAGCAAAGGGAGAACCCAGCACAGAATGATGTTTTTCTCTTAAGAGAGACTTTGAGAGAATGTGTGGAATGGCTTTCGCCCCACCTCCAACACCGGCATGTGCCCCCAAGGGCATTCAGCCCTTGATGGCTGGGGGGGGGGGGCGACAAGGTTGCCCATTCCTGGACTCCTGCATTTTTTTTATGGGTCCAAACTCTGTTGCTGAGGCTTCATAACTTGTTTTTGTCTGGATAAAAGTCCTGTAAAAGTCAAAAGAAGGGACGCAGGTGGCTCTGTGGTCTAAACCACTGAGCCTCTTGAGCTTGCCATCCAGAAGGTCGGCGGTTTGAAATGCCGCGACGGGGTGAGCTCCCGTTGCTTGGTCCCAGCTCCTGCCAACCTAGCAGTTCAAAAGCACGTCAAAGTACAAGTAGATAAATAGGTACCACTCCGGCGGGAAGGTAGATGGCATTTCCATGAGCTGCTCTGGTTTCGGTGTTCCATTGAGACAGAAGTGGCTTAGTTATTATGGCCACATGACCTGGAAAAACTGTCTATGGACAAACGCCGGCTCCCTCGGCCTGTAAAGCGAGATGAACGCCGCAAACCCAGAGTCATCTGCCACTGGACCTAACGGTCAGGGGTCCTTTACCTTTACCTTTTTACCTTTAAAAGTCAAAGGCAAGGAACGCTCCCCTCAGAAGCAGAACAGCTGTGGTACTTTGAGCAAAAGCCAGAAGAGATTTATTTAAACTTGTGTAGCTGTAAATGATAGATGTCCTTTGCTCCATTTCCCCCCTAAACTACTGTGAATAATCTTCATGTTTTGAAGATCGCTTAGTCTCTCAGATGTAAGGATTGCTGCTGTTGAACAGTATTAGTGGCTTCCTTTCCCACAGCCTTTTGGTGTCCCTGAGGCAGGCAGGGCCAGCCGGCTGGCTTATGAGGCTTAGTGAGGCAATTGCCTCAGGTGGCAGGCTGGGGACAGCAGGGAAGAGGAGAGTGCCACTTGCCACATCCTGCGCTTGGTGTGCAGTGTGGTGTAGTGGTTAAGAGCAATAGACTCGTAATCTGGTGAACTGGGTTCGCTTCCCCGCTCCTCCACATGCAGCTGCTGGGTGACCTTGGGCTAGTCACACTTCTCTGAAGTCTCTCAGCCCCACTCAACTCACAGAGTGTCTGTTGTGGGGGAGGAAGGGAAAGGAGAATGTTAGCCGCTTTGAGACTCCTTCAGGTAGTGATAAAGCAGGATATCAAATCCAAACTCCTCTTCTTCTTTTTCTTCTTCTTGGCACCTACACCCGCCTCCTCCTCTGCTGCCGCCACCCCCAGCACTGACCCCCATCACCGCCAGCTCCTCTCCAGCCTCCTTTCTTCTCCTCTGATACCGTCAGCACGCCAGGACTTCCCCAGGTTACCTCCAATCGCCACAGGTCACAGTGGATAAGGAGGTGGAAGGGCGGGGGACACCTTTTCTGTTTTGCCTCAAGCGGCAAAATGTCATGGGCTGGGCTGGCCCTGCCCTGGGGCTTCTGCTTAATTTCTTAGCTACAAAGCAACCTTATTATCAATGAGGAGGAAGTTGTAGCTTTTCTAGGCCATAGTTGAGTTGCTCCTCTAGTGAAAATTCCTGTTCTCTCCTCCCCGCCCCACTTCCTCAGTTCCGCTAACCCTCTGTGAATGCATTTGCTCATAACAGGTTGTTTAAAAATGGTGTGCGGGCGTGTGTGTTTTATGGGATCTGTAAGCCACTCCTTTTTTTCCTGTTACTGTAAAGCATTGCATTATTAGAAAACATTCCCTTTGCTGAAGCAGGCATATCCCTCGTGTGCTACGAAATACATCTGTAGAAGCACAATAACTGCAGCAGGCCAGGAGGGTTCTCTTTTTATTGGATTCTTTCATAATGAACAATGGGCGTTAAATCCATTCCACTGTGAAAAGGTCCCTCTGCCATGGGAGAAGCCCCAGGACCCAGCGGAACAGAGCCATGCTGTATACACAACCCCACTGGTGCTTGCAACACAGCTCAGATTGTTGCCAGGCCTCCTTGAGGTGGACAGAGGCTCTTAAGCCTTTGACAAAGCGATGAGAAATCAACAGACAATGCGTTTGCCAGGTAGCATGGTGGTCCAGTGCTATAAGAAGATATACAAAGCTTAAAGGTAATGGTAAAGGGACCGCTGACCATTAGGTCCAGTCGTGACCGACTCTGGGGTTGTGGTGCTCGTCTCGCTTTATTGGCCGAGGGAGCTGGCGTACAGCTTCCAGGTCATGTGGCTAGCATGACTAAGCCGCTTCTGGCAAACCAGAGCAGCGCACGGAAACGCCGTTTACCTTCCCACTGGAGCGGTACCTATTTATCTACTTGCACTTTTGACGTGCTTTTGAACTGCTAGATTGGCAGGAGCAGGGACTGAGCAACGGGAGCTCACCCCGTTGCGGGGATTCAAACCGCCGACCTTCTGATTGGCAAGTCCTAGGCTCTGTGGTTTAACCCACAGCGCCACCCGCGCCCCTCCATATCTTACTTACCATATCTTACTTACCAAAGCTTACACCATATCAAATCTTCCATACAGCTGCAATAGGAAGGAAGCCTCTAAAGCAGCCTTTCTCAACCTGTGGGACCCCAGATGTTGTTTAACTACAACTCCCATCATCCCTAGTGAGCAAGGCCAGAGCTCAGGGATGATGGGAGTTGTAGTCAAACAACATCTGGGGACCCACAGGTTGAAAACTGCTGCTCTAAAGGAACATGATCTCTCATCCTGAGTCAGACCATTGATCCATCTAGCCAAATATTGTCTTCCCCAGCCCTGTGTCTTCCAGATGTTTCCCACTACAATTCCCATAATCCCCCACATCATTGGTTATGCTGACTGGGGCAGATGGAAGTTGTAATCCGACAACCTCTAGTAAGCACCTGGTTGAGGTAGGCTTGTCTATTCTGACTGCCCCCCAAGGACATAATAAGAGACCTGCTAGATTGGGGCAAACAGTCCAACATCCTGTGGCCAACCAGATTCTTATGGGAAGCTCCCAACTACAGCTTGGGTGCAAAAGCTCTCTGCTGCTGTTCTTCACCAGGGACATGGTTTCAGAAGATCCTGGGGGGTAATGTGCAGACATTGCGATGACTAGGAGGCATAGCCTTACCTTCTGCGAATTTGTCTGATCCTTCTTTAAAGCTGTTTGAAATTTTGCCCATCACCACCTTATATAGCAGAAAATTCCACAGTGTGACTTTGCATTGCGCAAAGAGGTATTCCTCTTGTTGCTCTGAATCTTCTACCGTGAGGTGTGGTATAGTGGTTAAGAGCGGTAGTCTTGTAATCTGGGGAACCGGGTTCGTGTCTCCGCTCCTCCACATGCAGCTGCTGGGTGACCTTGGGCTAGTCACCCTTCTCTGAAGTCTCTCAGCCCCACTCACCTCACAGAGTGTTTGTTGTGGGGGAGGAAGGGAAAGGAGAATGTTAGCCGCTTTGAGACTCCCTAAAGGGAGTGAAAGGCGGGATATCAAATCCAAACTCTTCTTCTTCTTCATTCCACTTCGCTGGGTTCCTGATACGGGTCTTTCCCATCAACATGGTACCTAAGCATTTTGCTGCAGGTGAACTTGGATTTAAACCACAGTAACTGGTTCCCCCTTCCTTTGTTACTCATTTGAGGTTTAGCTTTGCTAAGTTGGTATGGCCATTCCTTGGCTCCACTGTTCTGCAAGCACCTCTCCTAATTAATAGCTGTTCAACCAGCTTCAAAGAGATTCCCAGATAGCTGTTCCTTGTTTGAAGAGCTCCGTTAGCTTAATTGACTGTCCTTGGGCTTTGGGTGAGGGGAACCACAACTGATGTGAAAGCCAAAGGCATCCCATTAAAATCCTGACGGAGGTTGGATTTCTGTAGGAAATTGGCTTACATCTTGCATCCTGAAAAAATTAAATCTCCAATTTAAACTGGGCGCTTCAGATAAGTAGCTGTTAGTGGATGACACTTGCACCATCCAATCCCTCATACTATTTTTATAATAATAATAATAATAATAATAATAATAATAATAATAATATCATCATCAATGGAGCTTAAAATAAAGGAAAACTTTGTCTTCTTGTTTGGGGGGACTGCTGTCTATATGGACCATTTATGTGCTGTGTCTGTGATGGAGAAAAGACTGGAGAGACCTGGTCTGAACAAAGACATTGGATTCTTATCTCATTATACATGACAAAGCCATTTTTCACCTTCTCACCCCTTGCTTTTTCCTGTAAGACCTATTGCAGTCGTTAAGAGTCGTCAACAGGCTCATCACAGCTATCTGCCAATCACCCATTCCCA